CCTCCACCGCTTCTCCATTCTCCTTCTCCACCACCCTTCTCCCTTTCTCCCCTATCCTCCTTCTCCACCAGCTTCTCCCTTTCTTCTCCCCATTCCTCCTTCTCCACCAGCTTCTCCCTTCTCCCCATTCCTACATTCCTAGCCAATATTGAAAGTCGCGCCATACCGGCCGCCCTTGTGACGTAGGGCGCCTATAGTCACTTTCCAAACAGAAACTCCGGAGCTCTATAAATTATCAAGTAAGAAGCCAGCCCTCTCCAATAACTTTAAGATTAAGATGAACAAAATACACTTTTGCACAAAGAATTTGCAATTATGAGTAAATATTATATGTATAATAATAAGTACAAAATATGTGTTCTTTCATGGAAAATACATCAGAAAACTGGTGTGTGATTTACTTATCTAGCGGTCTCAGCGCGACCAAAGGACAGTGGGCTACTCTGGGTTACTGCCAGCCGTACGCCGCGCCCTAAACCTAAACCCATAATCCTTAACCCTACCTATCCTAAACCCTAAGGCCCCCCCTAACCCCTAACGCAAAAAAAAAAGGTCTATCTTGAACGACGACCAGCTGGCGTACCTCCAGCCAGCTAGCGCGGTAACCAAAACAATTTTACAAACGGCGGTGTTCTCTTGTCTGTAAGGGTTTCTATCAAGTTAGTTCAAAGCCAAAGCCATCAGTTCAAGAAAACGGCCGCGGATGATATCTTGGGTTATCACTCAAACCCATGTGTTTAAAAGGAAACTACTCAAAACTACTTTAACCTAACTTACAGAGAAAATTGCGGAAAGTTTTTGCGGTAGATAATTTGGGATTTTGGCACAAGTCATGGAGGCCTGACATCTTGGCCAAATTTCCAGCCAATCAGAAGGCGCCTAAAATCCTTCCTATGTTATACCGCTTTGGGAAAAAAAATTTCGCACCCTCCCGCGCAGCCGTCATCAGATATTATGCCGCGACTGCCCGGGATATTATTAGCCACTTCTGTTAAGTATTAACTGGATAATCTGACTTATATCTCTAGTTCCGCACAGTCCTTGGGAGGCCTTTTTCCGTCTTCTCGAGTATATAGTCCGCTGGACTTTGAAGACTAATTACTTACGTACGAAGCTGACGACAGGATTCTCAGTTCAGAGTTGACCAACAGAAATTCATCAGAAAAATTCTCAGTTATTTCACAAACAAGCAGTGACGCCATTTGCATGCTTCGTGCCGCCATCTACCGAGGCACCTTTAAATAAACAATTCGTACGTGATTTATGGCAGACGTCAATAACCCCATACGCAGTTATCTCTTAAGAAAAACACTTGCCCAATGGCCCATTCAGAAATAATAATCGAGTTATTATAAAGGGTGATATGATATGCTCACGTGTCCGAGACAAACCTGTGTAATAGCACACATCATACATATATATCTAGTCGCTGATGAATCAAAGAGCTGGGCAGTTGGCGAATTGCCCAGCCAGAGAATCAATGTGCAAGGACGGAAAGCTATGTCTCCACGTCCCAATGCACGTTCTGCTGCGGTACAGTGTGTCCACGTCTATGTGTATATATATATGAAGGTGTTCTGTAATATATGACACCAGGTGTGTAGGTAAATTATCGAGGAGATTAACATTCAACTTCTCAGACCGATCCATGTTGCCGGTTACTTACATGGTAGAGCATTGTGCTGATTGTCATTGAGGTATGACTGCCTAGCAGGACTCGCAGCTAGGGCCTGCCAACCTCCCAATCCCATTGGCTTGATTACATATTCACGTTGCCTGGAAACTTGCCCGTTTTAAAATAAAACTTTTTATGGTGCATCTGTGACCCTAATCTAACCACTAACCCTACCTAACCCTAAAACCTAACCTATCCTAACCCTTAACACTAATCTACATATAATTGGTAGGTCCTCCACGTGGTTCCAGTGATCGGTTGTTCACACGTCGTTCCGTCCCGTGGCGCACTCGCTCACGGCCGTGTTCAGACGCTGCGACAGCTTCTTCACGTGGTTCCAGTGATCGGTTGTTCACACGTCGTTCCGTCACGTGGCACACTCGCTCACGGCCGTGTTCAGACGCTGTGACAGCTTCTTCACGTGGTTCCAGTGATCGGTTGTTCACACGTCGTTCCGTCACGTGGCGCACTCGCTCACGGCCGTGTTCAGACGCTGCGACAGCTTCTTCACGTGGTTCCAGTGATCGGTTGTTCACACGTCGTTCCGTCACGTGGCGCACTCGCTCACGGCCGTGTTCAGACGCTGCGATAGCTTCTTCACGTGGTTCCAGTGATCGGTTGTTCACACGTCGTTCCGTCACGTGGCGCGCTCGCTCACGGCCGTGTTCAGACGCTGCGACAGCTTCTTCACATGGTCGGCGACGCGATCGCGGTGCTTCTCGCGCACGCGGCTCTCGCACTTCTGGCGAAACTTGTCTGGATGCCACCTCACCTGCTGGCCGCGTAGGTAGCGCTTACCGTCGTCCGCGCCAATGACGTCGCAGAGGAGGATGTCTGCCAGACGTCTCATGTCGTCTTCGTCGCGGAACGGCAGGTCGACGAGGCGAATGGCGGTCGTGGATTCGTCGAAAACCTTTGCGCAAATCGCATTGTAGCTGCAACGGACAAAAATGTGACGAATAGATTGCATGATAGCTGAAACAGACAAAGAAGCAACAGAAAGATTGCATTGTAGCTGAGAGAGAGGGAGAATGAGAGCGAGAGAGAGAGAGAGAGAGAGAGAGAGAGAAGAGAGAGAGAGAGAGAGAGAGAGAGAGAGAAGAGAGAGAGAGAGAGAGGGAGAGGGAGAGGGAAAGGGAGAGAGGGGGAAGGGAGAGAGAAAATATCACATGCAAATTGCAATGGTGTTAGAGTTAAAATAGATACTACGCTGATACTAACTTAGGCAGGGGAAAGGAAAGGGGAATTTACCCGTTATTTTGCAATTCATCTGTTTACAACTCAAGAGGTTGCAACAATGATAAGAGTTCACTGTTATTTAAGGAAAGTACGAGGTTCAAACAGTTACCGGAAATCTTGATTTTTATGGCAGAGTTTAGTAACTAGAAGCTTTAGTTATATGCCCACTTTTACGATTTGGGAGTTTTACATATTTACTATTGATATTAAGTTTGATCACTCCAAATGACAAACCTCTGCTTCTTAACAAGAAGTTCTTTCTCCTTCCTCTGCTTAATGACTCTTTTCTGATATTCTTCATGGTCTTTCTCAAGCTTCTTCTGAAACCTTTTCTGCTCCTCTTTCTTCTGCTCCTCAGCCAGTCGCTGTTTCTCTTGCTTCTGATGCCTTGTGTCTCCGTACTGATCGCCAAAGCGCTTCCTCTGATTGCTTGCATACCGCTGCCGCATATTATCCGCCCACTCATCATATGTGCCTGGTTCATCTTCTTCCAACGGATAATCTGCACGTATACATTATAAAATAAATGAAAAACAATCAGCAACAAGCTCTACCATGTAAGAACGGCAACATGGATGGTCTGAAAGTTGAAGTTAATTCCTGATAATTTACCACACACCTGGAGTCATATATACAGAACAACCTTATATATATATACACATAGGACGTGGACACACGTGTACCGCACAGAACGTGCATAGACTGTGGAGACATATGCTTCCAGCCTTGCACAGTTGATCTCTGCAGGGCACGCACCCAGATCTCCCACGGACTAGATATATATGTATATGTGTGTATACACAGCTTTGCCGGACACTGTATCATATCACCCTTTATAAACTCGATTATTATTCTGATGGGCATGGGCAAGTATTTGTTCTTAGTCACAGTTAAGTGCCTTGATGAGTTTCGTGGAAGGCAGAATCAGGAAATGATGTCATGTGATAATAATAGGCACAGCTTTAAAATTATCTGTGAAGTAAGTGTACAGAGAAAAGTACCCGGGGGTAGGGTTGTTGTTTTAAACCCGAATGTAGACACCATATTACGGTAAATTGCAGTTAATGCCTCTGCCTCGTTCTCTTTTCTCTTTCTCTTCCTCTCCATGTTATACACACTTGCATGCATAGATCTGGGACTATCTCATGTGCGAAATCGCTGTACTGTGCAATATGCCAATATGTCTACATCATACATGTATAACATCAATAGGAAAATCATAACCATGCATAGGTGCAATGGCCTAAATGACAACAAACACAGAGTGAGTTCACTTTCGCAGAAAAATATTTTCACATTGTTGTTGCTTCCATAGTGAATTAGCCATATATCGCATGCTTGGTAACGTGGCTGGTAGCTCATGGAGACTCATAGATCTCGGGTAACAAACAGAAAGGCATGCCGTAATAACCTTGGTAGCCAGCTGGTTGTGTACTTCGCAAATCTAGTGTTTTTTACTTTCCTGTCAGGGAGACATTACGTCATTGGCGTATGTACAAGGCAGTCGCAGTTTTTAACATTTTCTGGGGCTAAGCAAACCCCAAAAAGTAATCATATTGAAGGCAGACCTATTAATAGTTGTTGCTTATGCGTTTGAATGTCTAGCTATGATTTGCTTATAATAATGTATGTATACCTTGTTCACGCAGCAGCATATGAATGAATACAGGTGTGATACAGTGTGATAAAGAGAGTGTGTTAATGCCCTTCACAGTGTGGTGCTTCTACACTTAGGCCTGTTAACATTAATATTATTATTATTTGTTATTGTATAAATACCAATAATCGTGTTATAAACACCTATAATATAATCACTAGTTGAAAAGAATATATACGTATTTCAACTATACAGATGCAGAAATTACGAAAATAAAATTAGTTCTACAATTGGAGAAAAAAATGTACTTGCTTTGAATTCTCTCATTTATATCACCAGTGGATGTTTGGAACACTAGTCACACACGATCACACGTCTCACTCCTGTCCCTCGATCTACACTCAACGGTAGTCGCACCCCTGCCACCAGTCCTCCACACGTTCCTGCGATCGATTGCTCGCACGCAGTTCCTACGATCGGTTGTTCGCACGTGGTTCCTGCGATCGGTTGTTCGCACGAGGTTCCAGTGATCGATTGTTCGCACGTGGTTCCTGCGATCGGTTGTTCGCATGCGGTTCCCGCGATCGATTGTTCGCACGTGGTTCCTGCGATCGGTTGTTCGCACGTGGTTCCTGCGATCGGTTGTTCGCACAACCACGTGAAGAAGCTGTCGCAGCGTTTGAACACAGCCGTGAGCGAGTGCGCCACGTGATGGAACGACGTGTGAACAACCGATCACTGGAACCAGGTGAAGAAGCTGTCGCAGCGTCTGAACACAGCCGTGAGCGAGTGCGCCACGGGACGGAACAACGTGTGAACAACCGATCACTGGAACCACGTGGAGGACCTACCAATCGCAGGAATCGCGTGCGAACAACCGATTGCAGGAACCGCATGCAAACAAGCGATCGCAGGAACCGCGTGTGAACAACCGATTGCAGGAACCACGTGCGAACAACCGATCACAGGAACTGCGTCCGAACAACCGATCGCAGGAACCACGTGCAAACAACCGATCACTGGAACCTCTCACGTGGCGCACTCGCTCACGGCCGTGTTCAGACGCTGCGACAGCTTCTTCACGTGGTCGTCGACGCGATCGCGGTGCTTCTCTCGCACGCGGCTCTCGCACTTCTGGCGAAACTTGTCGGGATGCCACCTCACCTGCTGGCCGCGTAGGTAGCGCTTACCGTCGTCCGCGCCAATGACGTCGCAGAGCAGGATGTCTGCCAGACGTCTCATGTCGTCTTCGTCGCGGAACGGCAGGTCGACGAGGCGAATGGCGGTCGTGGATTCGTCGAAAACCTTTGCGCAAATCGCATTGTAGCTGCAACGGACAAAAATGTGACGAATAGATTGCATGATAGCTGAAACAGACAAAGAAGCGACAGAAAGATTGCATTGTAGCTGAGAGAGAGGGAGAATGAGAGCGAGAGAGAGAGAGAGAGAGAGAGAGAGAGAGAGAGAGAGAGAGAGAGGAGGAGGAGGAGGAAGGGAAGGAGAGGAGAGAGGAGAGAA